TATTAATTATAATTATATTATAATTATATTAATTATAATTATATTATAATTATATTAATTATAATTATATTATAATTATATTAATTATAATTATATTATAATTATATTAATTATAATTATATTATAATTATATTAATTATAATTATATTATAATTATATTAATTATAATTATATTATAATTATATACGATTATAATTATAATCATGTAATTACATTAAAATATAAAAAATATATTATATTATAAAATTATAATACAATATATAATATAAATTATAATATAATATAAAATAAAATTATAATATAAAAAGAGAAAGACCGAAATGTTGGCAACGAACCAAGTGCGAAGCGTTAAGTTTCTAAAAATACACCATCTCGTATCTACAAAATGATCAATTGGTCATTTCGATAATTTTGGTAGTTTTAGTTAAGGGGAGTCGAGCGACGAGATCGATTGCTCGAGGAAAAGAGGGTCGGTGGGCGGAAAGGTAACGAAAATCGACGCATCGCGACTGCAGGAAACGCCACTGTACGCCAGCGCCTATTAATTTCTCTGTTCCTTTCGCAGGCCGGCCGTTTGTCACTGTCAGACGATACTATTAAACCAGGTGCCGGTTGCGTGCCGTTTGATCGCGAAAATTATTGCGGCTGCATGTGGAATTGTCACGGTACAAGTAGCGACTCATGAAAGGTCGCCTTTCGTCGTGACACCGGCCAACCGCCGACCTTTGCTCCCGATCAAAAATAAGTCGTCCACTTTTGACGAGGCGAGCGGCAATAAAGAGACGACCGTGATGGTTATTCGACTGCAATTCGTGGAAGTGACGTCTCGGTTTGGCCGGATGCTGGATGATTCCATCAGTCTCTTCCATAAAAGTTGACATTAAAAAATTTATCGATAGGACGTTGAATCTTCGAGTCCTCATTCCCTGGACAACCTTTGACATTCACCGAATATTTTATCATTCAGAATATTTGCCGATGAAAGTTGGAGGGCTCGGAAATTATTCAAAGTTACCTTCCTTTTACGCTGGAATAATAATAACTTTGTGTCCCCAAAATTGCAATTATTTTCTCAGTTTTAAGTATATCTAATTCTGCAACCCAGTCAGAACAAATAATAAATTTATTATTTCTCAATCATTTCTATCCAGTGATATCATACCGACGAGTTCAAGAGATAAAGAAGAGCGACGGATTATTGTATACGGTTTGGTCACTCGTTATGGTCCGCAGTCAGTTGCCAACGCAAGTGGTTGAACGTATTTTCGTCGTCAAAATCGCCATTCAATGAAACAAATTACAAACTCTTTCTACAAGCTGAAAATTCTGAGGACAGAGGAGTATTTGCATAGCACAAGTCGTTTCTAAATGAGAAATGATTTACACCAATTGGCTTCTAAAGTCTCTCAAACAGACTGGACTTTTTACGCATTTGTAGGAAATTTTCACACGATGCACGTAATATGAAAAAAATCTGCAAGACATCCAAAGAACAATTTTCTATAATTCCATATATGGATTTGGATAAAAATCCGCACTCTCGTAATGAAATTGTTTTATATGTATTACACGTCTGGCGTGTTTTTTCATAATTTCGAAAAGACGCCTATTGAAAAACGTGAGAAATAAGATTCTACGAGAAAAAGCAACACTGACGGAATATAATATAAGAGAGTACACGTAATTCCGAGCTCACTTGAAAGAGTGAAAATGACGAAGATCACGGAATTATTTACATTAAACACGTTAGATGATTCAGCAGTGAATGAATACATAGAGCGTTCTTAAATATCAAAGTAAATGGACAATTTTCGTAATCTCCATTCATCGCGTGCAATTGAACAATAAAATGTGAAAGTTTCTTTAATACTTTCAATACCTTTGTCTGCTTGTTAATTTGATTGATAAGTATCTTAAGCAAAAAAATTTCCATCAAGAAACAAGGCAAAATTTTCGACAAATCGCTCAGCTGGCTGAGGAACAGAGAGAAAGAGAGATTGATCTCGCAACGAAATAAAACGTTAAACACTGATTTTCGATACCGCGTGCTTCGGAGATACAGGCAATTGAATTGAAAATGAAAATTCTAATTAAAAGAAAGCTCGATAAATACAAAATTTCGATGTTAAACGAAACGTACGCATCGCTTCTGGAACGTAATTCCACCTGGAAATTTCTTCTCGCGAGGCGATCAGGTAAACTGAAACAAGATTGTTTCGATCGACGTATTTCTAAAGACGTATCATTTTATTCAACATCCGGCGTGAGAGATTTCGTTCGAGTAATTTTCCTTCGTACAGAAATTCACACTTTGCGAGATGCACCATCGTCCGCGACATTGTTCGCATCGGCCGCGCATAATTGCGAGATGGTTAACGACAGACAGACATCTTTGAAAGAGTCTTTGCTTAGTGAAAATCAAAGAGTATCGAGTGCCATGCAATCGAAGAGAAGTCGAATGTCGCAGAATGTTCTCCGACAATAAACTTCCTCTCACAAGTGTTTCGTATCTCATTTCGTCGAAATCTCGCTTCTCAAAGGTACACGCGTGTGCCGCGAACTCGAAGAAAAATACGAAAGCCCTCTACGCGCTCCGACCTTTGCAAATCACATCGAGGAATATTCTCCGAGGTCTTTTGTGTCGCCTAACGAGAGAGAGAGAAATAGAGATAGAGACAGAGAGAATCGAAACCGGAAACAAAGTTCGCCTCCTTTGGGTATCTCGTTCGAGCACAGAGCACTCCGCATTTCGTCATAATGACAAACTCGTCGCGCTTCTTAAAACGCCGACGTTGTTAAAAAGAGGCTTCGTTAAAGTGGAAACGATCCTCGAGAGCGCGACGAGCATAACAGTCAGAATGGGCAACCAGCGAATACGTGGCACGCCTGCTTCGAATTTCAATCGAATTACTACCAAAGTGGCGCGTTACCTTCCTTGGACTTTACTTTCACGCGTTTGACGAGTATACACGTCACTGTCGTCCGGAAAGTAGCCTTCTCTAGCCTGGATTTCAGGTCACGCGCGCGCGCCAGTCGAGTCGAGTATCGTTTCACTTCGTTTCGTTTCGTTTCGTTTCGCGAAAACAGCGGCGAAGAACGTGGCAGCGATCCAATTTGGCAGACACTCGTCGCGAGCCCCGTTAATTACCAGCGCAGATCCTTGATTATCGCTGACGCTGAGAGTCCCCCCGTGGATCGCACCGAGTCCAAACTGCGTCATGCTAAAACACTCATTTACATGTGTCGTACAGGTTCCTCCCTTTCGTGAGGATTCTCTCCGCGAAACGAAAAGGAGGGGGAGGGAGAGAATCACGTTCGCAGCCGTCGCAGTGAACTAACTCGACGTCGTCTCGGACAGAGAGCGCACAACCACTACCCACCACCACCACCATCATCTCCACCAGAAGAGAATAAAACAGTTTCACTCGCGTCGCGTCGCGATCGACTTGGAAACGACGATCTATCGGATATATCAAATCACGAGAAGCGGAGAGTGCGGTCACTGCCGTGTAAACAGATCAGCTCTACCGAGAACACACTGTGAGACTTCAAATTTCAGCGAATACTTCATTTCAATTTCTTCTCTCTTTTTTTTTCTTCCTTTTTCCTTTTCCCCTCTCTTCGCTCTGTTTTCTTTTCTTTTTTGTTTTTTTTTTTTTTTTTTTTTTTTTTTTTTT